ATGTAAGTTATACGGTCCATTTTTTTTTATACAGGAAACCTCGTATCAATCAGCAAAACCTCATGGAAGGGTATGCCAGACATACTTTCGATCCTCCAGGATTCGAAGTGAGGTATATTAATAATGAAAAAGGTATGGATAACTCCGAATTTTAAATTGATATATTGCAATATGTTATTTGAATTCTAACTAGATGTTATTTACTGTTAACACTTTCTATCAGAGGAACATCATAAAATACAAAATACTTGACATTCAATTGCTCTGTTGAAACAAAAACATACATAAGCAAATAAACAGTATAAATAAAGAACAAAAGACACAAATATATTCTTCTCTTGAAACGTAAGGAACAAATTAGTCACATCCTAAATCAAAATTTTAGGTCGTGGTGTTTTCGCCAAAAAAGATTTTTGGAAAGGAGATTTCCTCTTCCTATACAAAGGGAAACATCACCAGGAGGATCCAGGCTACGGAATATACGTCATGCAAGTTTGCCATAAAAGAAAAACAATTTGGTAATAATAATTGAAATAAGTTACCTTTTAGCATTGATAATAAGTATTTTTGCTTACAAAATATATAAAACAAAATTTACCCCCAATTGGAAGTAATAATTGATCGGATATCATTTTAATGGTAACAACAGACTTAATATGCAACAGTTTGAATCTAAACAAACATTAATTATTTAACACTGAATGTAAAACAATAAGCCCAAAGTTGGTGTCAAGTGATTATTAGATTAAAACTTTAAACAACTATGACAGATATGTTTTCGATTTGCCTTTGTAAGCAAGCTAATATGAGGTAAGGTTAACTCTCTTTCATAAATTTAAGTACTCATTTTGCAAATGCCTATGATTTCATTCATAACAAGTTACTAAAACGAAAAAAAGAAATCATAAGACGGCTTTATTCTTCATCAAAATACAGGATTGATGGTGATGAAGACGATGGGTCGCTCGGCAGGATGGCCAACGACGGCTACATTGATTCTAATGCCGTTATGAAATGCAGTGAAATTAATGGTCAAACCTTTGTCTCATTCTGGGCCCTGAAACATATAAAAATGTTTAATGAAATAAGTATTAGCTACAACAAAGGGGAACGGCAATATCATCCCTGGAGGATTGAGTAAGTGATAATGACGCTGTAACATAATTTGCTAGAAAAGAAAATTATTTGTCAATGCAATACATCAACAATGTCAAATTTTGGAGCATACCATACCCTTTTCTATTGATATGCAAATTATACACACATATATATATATATAACGAAATAGGGAAAAGTATGCTTGTTTTATGCATATACTGGAGATTAGATAATGAATTTTGTCGTTTTAACACTTAAAATCAGGATCCCTTCTCCAGTATATGCATAATAACAAGCGTACTATCCCCCACTTTGTCTCGTGTTTAAACCAAAACTCATGATCTAATCTCCAGTATATAAATAAAAACAAGCATGCTATCCCCATTCTAAAATAATTTGAGTCTAAAAGTTTTGTAAATATCGCAATTACAACATTTTTGTTCGAAATAGTCCCTCATATTTTCTTAGCCAATCAAAACGCTCCTTTGTAATATTGATGTCGAAGAAGCTCGACGAAGAAGGTAGATCGGAATATATCAATACGATTATCACCCTCGTTCGCTCCACCGATGTCACATGTTTGCATGTAATTATCATAAATGTCTCCAATGTCAACGTTGATCATCTGTCTCAACAAGGAAGATGGCCGCCATGTTTGAGATAGCGTCAGAATGATTGCCATGGTAACGACTTGTCATTTCATGAGTATATTGGGGTTTAGATCATGAAAATAATCCAATCCAAAAATAGTTACATCACTATTATTTTAGAATAACGAATAAATACTGCCTGCTGCATTATTCTGATTGTGAATACCAGTTCTCGAATTTACAGGAAAATATAGCAGAAGTATTTAATTAGTGCAAATGATAGTAACTTCAATGAATTTGAATATTTTGTTATAAATTTCAAGATACAAATAACAGGCTAATAAGAAAGTGGTCTTTAAAACAGTAATTCATCATCTGACTCATTCAAGATGAGAAGAAAAGCAGCAGATACCATAGAAGAGTGGGAAGAGCGGAGGAAATGGGTTGACGAGAATATTGGTAATAAATACATCATTATTTTTCTTGATTTACAATGAGATAACATGGGATCCCTTCTTATATCATTATTCATTTTTAAAGTATTTATATTTACGAACAAGCAAACGGTTTCTCATTATCAGCAGTATAAATATGCAACGCACAAACATGTACAATTTATTTAATACTGAGACATTTAAAAAAATAACTATTGTGTCCGACCACTGAACAGAACTATCATGAAAAAAATGAAGCAAAAGGTAAAAGGTTTTGAATTTCGCAATATTCAACTTTGTGCTTTTCTGAAAAAAATGAGTAAGGAAGAGGAGATGATGAGTAAGGAAGAGGAGATGAGTAAAGAAGAGGAGATGAGTAAGGAGATGAGTAAGGAAGAGCAGATGAGTAAGGAAGAGGAGATGGAAACTGAGGATGGTATGTATATTAATCGGTTATCAAGTGATTATTTAAGATCAATGTGTGTTAATCAATAATATTTCACAACGTTCGATGGATCCATATTTACATTGATTGTTAAAGTAGAATTTAAATAAGTATATTTATCATTAAAAAAAGTTGCTTCGACTTCAGCTTATTTAGTTGATATAGCCGACATCTGAAGAGCAATATCTTAACATTGCAGAACTAACCTTACCACATTTGGAGATAAGGCTCTGTTCGGTGGTTATAGAGAAATTGAGTAAGTATCCAAGATGTCATTTTCTTTTAATGTAATGAAGATCTAATATAATTACTACTCAATTTGAAATGCCATGCATATACAGGGTTACAAGGATATTTTGATACCAATCTTGGCAGTTTTTCAAAATTGCCTGATTGACATGTTTAAATAGATAGTGCTTGATCAATATGAACGATTAAGCACATCTAAAGGTGGTGGTCCGAGAACATCTCAGCCCACCTCACAAGCAGCCACAGGAGCCCGGAAAGATACACTTCTTTGTGTCTCCTTTACCAAACCCAATGCGATAGATCAACACCCCGGAGTATTACAGGCATAAAGCAAACCAGCTACTATCAAAAAGATATTTCTAATATTTCACTAACAACTGATTACAATCCGCCTCCATCTGGTCCGACCACCTCATCAGCTGCCACAGTAGCCCGCCGGAAAGGTAAACGTATAGGTTGGGTACTTATTTGTCTTTATGTTACCTTTACCAAACCTAATGCGATAGATCAACACCCCGGATTATTACAGGCATAAGGCAAACCAGCTACTATCAAAACGATATTTCAAATATTCAGTCACAACTGATCAAAATCAGTCGACATTTGCCCCGACCACCTTACCAGCCGTCAACTATTACAAATGGACTCCACTTCTTTATCATGTTCCTTAAAGTGTGTTCTGAACTTTCGACCTGTTTCTCCTATGAATACTGAATTAAAGTTCTTAATGAAGAATTGTGATTCAGTATACGTAGGTTTAGAGTTATTGACCAAAGCTGACAGAATATCAGCGAAACTGTATGCGTTAGAACATCGTTGTTGCATATTTCTTATCATTCCTGTTAAACACATTTCGTCACTAAGATATTTCTAATATATTTATTTGCAATTTTATTAAAATCCATCTTAGATTACGATTATGTTGATATATCGGTATTTTCTTTGTTGTTTTTGTTGTTTTTGATTAAATAAATTTGCTTATAGACCAGCCATTAATGAGTGTATCATCCGTCACCCCCCCCCCCCCCCCCCCCCCCCCCCAAAAAAAACCCCAGGCAGTAGCAAAAAAGGTACAATTAATTATAGATTTGCTTATTAGATGTCTGTGTGTCTCCGATACTAATCCTTTTTTGACAGATAAAGGTTCCTCAGATGATGATAATGATAATGAGCGTAATAGAATTATTGTAAAACTTGATGTATATAAAATTGTTTTCATTCAATAACCGCCGTTCGTTATCAGATTGTTTTTCAGGAAATTGTATACCAAAAGCAAATCTTACACAGAAAGTTACTCGAATAGTCCTATTTACCAACTGGTTAATTTGTAACGCATCGAATTGATGTGTTATCTTTTGCCGTTGAATTTCAAACTAATCTCACTTTTAGCGGTTGTTATGTCTTATTGAAATTTTTTGCTTGCATCTCTCTTTTCTGGAACACCTTGTCCTATTTTCCTTCTACTTTATCAGGGGGTCTCCGTGTAAATGTTTCCTTTGTTAATATTTTCTCTTGTTTAATTGCATTTGACTTCATATTACGATTATGTTCATAAATTGGTATTTTTGTTGTTGTTTTTGATTAAATAAATTTGCTTATAGACCAGCCACCAATGAGGGTATCATCCGTCAACCCCCCCAAAAAAAACCAGGCAGTAGCAAAAAAAGGTACAATTATAGATTTGCTTATTAAATGTCTGTGTGTCTCCGATACCAATCCTTTTTTGACAGATCAGGATTCCGCAGATGATGATATTGACAATAAGCGTAATAGAATAATTGTAAAACTGATGTATATAAAATTGTTTTCATTCAATAACCATCGTTCGTTGTCAGATTGTTTTCTATGGAATTGTATACCAAAAGCAAATCTTACAAAGAAAGTTACTTGAAGAGTCGCATCACAATACTATGTTATCTTTTGTCGTTGAATTTCAAATTAATTATAATGGTTGTTATGTCTTTATTGAAAGTTTGTGCATGCAACTCTCCCATTACAGGGGTTGGGTATTCAAATGTTGAATCAAATTGAGTTGTGACGCATATTTGAAAGAACTTCAAAGTGAAAGCGTTAATCTGTTGAATGGTTTAACTCATGTTTTCAGAAAAAAAATGAAGGCAATGTGCCCAGAGTGTGGCGTCCAGAAAGCCTGTGTGGCCGACGACCTTAGAAAAATACACCACTGGGAGACGGAGAGGGCGAGCCGATGGCGCTATGTATCGTTAGTATTTGAACAATTAACAATGTTACAGTCGTTTATTAATGTAAGGCGATCAATCTTGTACATATAGTAAAGATGCAGCACTAAATATAATATATTTGGCAGAAAAAAATTCAATAATAGACCAGTAAAATTTGCCATTGGCTGTGTGTACAAAGCTGTTATTTTAGCTGCAGCTTGACTTTGGTTAGCAACAGACAGTGGAGTTATTTGCCCGAGTTGGAGGAGTTTTGGAGCTGCTGTGGTAAGGTCAATTGTAGCGGATTCCTTCCTGCATAATCTAGTTGAAGTGCGTTCGTTTTAATACCGGCAGTACGATTAAGTTGTACATAATACACACAGTGCACCAGTACCACCTGCAAATTACCTTATATTTTGTATGGTGATACTATACTGTATAACTCGTGATAACTATGATCAAATGTGGGTTGAAGTTTACATATATCGTTCTCCTAGAACAAAAAAGTTTTATTTTAAGAACATTTATCAAAATTCCTTTATTTCAGGCCCGAGTCTCAAGGGTCCAGGAGAAAAGTGAAATGTCCCCTCCTTGGGTGTGTATCTTTTATCCAGCAACCGAGGAGCTAAAACCTGGATCTCCTGCCTACAGAAAGGCTGTTGAGATGCTAAATGCAGACAGAGGCCTGGGAAAGAAGGGTTAGTATCTTGTATTAATTACGCTCTTCATGGAACAATCTTTTGGGAAAATGCTGCACACGGAAAAAACCCAGTTTCTGTTTATTCATAAATCGTGGAACAAACGAGTGTACGATACACACCTTCCTTTTTCCTTTATTAGTGTGTGCGCATGCAATTACCAAATGTAGTGGCCTCAAGTTAAAAATACACGGGTGAATGACTCGCGAAGGGTTTGATAGGTAGTAGTGCTCCCAGGGAAACAAGAACAATGTCCACAGAGGATAGTCAACAATTACATAAAATACATGTATAGATCATTGGCCAAAAGAATCGTTTTTTGTTTATTGACAGGCAGATAGATTTATATACTTTTTCGAGTGTGCTTATATTTCACTTTTATTCAAGACCTGTATCATTCGCGAATTCAAATTTTATCGCTAATATACATTTGCTGATGTAATGCATATATAGATAACCGGTTTCAGTGACTCCTTGCGAAATCACGTAATCACGAATAGGACAATGGGTGTCGCGAAATAAAGTACTCGAGAAAATAAAGTGATTTGCAGGTGGGGTAAAAAGCACTGCCACATTGGTACAATACAAGACAATGGTTGGCATGATTTTTGCGGAATTGAAGTGCAGCTGGAAAGAGCTGTTCCAGCCTGGTAAGGAGAAATGACATTTAAATTAACCCTAAGATATACGGCGCTGAATTATAAAAGTAACAAATGCTATTTTAACTTCAAAATAGACGCGGTTTTGCAATATTTATGTATTATATTGGTAGAAACGTAATGATTAAGAAGATGTATACACAATTTTGATTGCTCCTTGAAGAAAAATGACCGGTTTGTTGCCGAAATAATTGGATTAGATTCAAAGTCCGTGCCGAAATGTAAATTGAAATGTAGTTGGGATTTATGTATGGGAGCATCATAAAGTTCATCAAAACATGTATGTTGTATCATGTAAATCATCAATGCCCATCACGTGGGAATAATAGAAAATTAATTATATGAAAACGAATTAGTCACCGTATACGGAAGCAATTAAGTACAATAAATCAACCTTACTATATAACAAATAATTTCAAATCATCTCGCAGACAGGTGGGAAAAATCATCCAGGCATATTGGTCTGCTAAAGGGTTTTGTAAACAAGGTAATTGAACCATTCGGTAATTAGCGTCATTGCTATGATGCTAGTCGGACTAATTAGTGATCAAGACAGTGGTGGAAAGGAAAAATAGGGGTTTGAGAGAGTTTTTCAACACAAAACAATAATTTGATATTGACGACAGCATTTTATCAACTTCAAATATTATTTCACTCCGTCTAAAATAGTGTGTACTCTGTAGAAAATGTCTTGCAGCAAGCACGCTGACACATAAAATAAAAATAAAATAAATAAAAACTCTGCTTATATAGTCTCACCTTTTTCAAATTTTCAAATGTCATCTTTATAACAAATATTTTACTTCAGCCTAACTTAACGAACAAAATGACACTTTATCATCAATGTCACTTAGCTCAGAGACGTCTATACTCTGAGCCAAATCAATAGACACCTTGGGAAACAGGTCATATTCCTACGCACTACAACTACTACGTTTGTAAACAAAATAGCTGACCGAATTACTGTTTGCATTGAAAGCAGAGGCAGGGGCACTGGGAGAATAAAATACACAAACGAGTTTAATAAATTCAATATTATATAAACATTATAGTGTTAGCTTCACACAAGTTCAACATCTGCATGTTCAAATTCCACTCGAACTTCTCCGTCATACACACAATCAATGGCGAACACGTGTAACCGGTCAACTTCAACAGTGTTCCAGTTTCATGGCGGATTCAAAAGTATATTTTCTGGCTCAGTGACAGGCGGTAACATCGAGGTTCACATCAACAACCCTCTCCGAAGAAATGGGCTTGTGTTATAGAGAGTGACAATCACTCTAGTCCCTGCAAACTTTTCAAANTCCAGCCTTCAAGCGGGTTCAGGAAAGTGAGATGGCTCCTGGCACTCTTACGAGTTATATACATGCCCTAAAAGCCTTTCTGAGGTTTTTAATGACCCAAAGGCCGATTACCATCAGGGACAGTGGCGTTGAGCTGTCATCATTTGCAACTACAGTTCAGGGCATCGAGGAGTGGCAGAAAAGTTTGGCAAAAGAAGCATCCTCCCGGCTCAACAAAGTCAAAGAAAAACAGATGGGTATGTACAATTCTGCCCTAGGGCAAAAATAGATGGTAATGGACCCCCTGCAACACCCACCCTTTTTCATATTGTTTGCGATGATATGCTACAACAAATGATATTTTGAGAAAGATGTACTTGTGTAATTATGAGTTTATAATTGTCTGGAATATACGGTTGCTTTGAAGAGTGAAATACCAATTAAAAAGAATCCAAAGAAGGAACAGACAAATGAAGTTGAAGTTATGCTGTCCCAGCAATATTCTTGTTTATACAAAAGTTATAGGTTTATGAGGAAATTCGGTGAAAAACCTTTCGTTGAATGGCCGGTAAAATTAGACAGGGGAGACATAGAAGGAAAGGATAGGGAGGAGAGACAGGGGAGAAAAGAAGGAAACAAAAACGCATTTTGTATGTGAACTCCCGCGACATGTTGCCTCGATTTGGAGAAAGTGTATTTTCTCATTGTAGTAAACTAATTGTTGCACCATTTCAAGNTGAATCTTACACTTCATGTGATATTGAATTTATTAAACTCGTTCAATAAATTCAATAATACATGAACACTCGTGTAAAATTCTCTATGTATAGAAAGGGAGGTGATGAAAAAGTAAGTAGCAGCCTTATATGTTTTACCAAGGACTTACACAATCGTAAACGATGTATACGTAACATTCGGATTTAGTCAAGCTAAACTTACTTTTTTTGACGTTCTGGGGTTTAAATATATGATGGATTCAAGTTGACCTTTAAAATCAAACAATTAATTTAGCAGTTAAGTATTTGTTTAATTCGATAACCAAAGAGCTTAAAAGAGTAGACTTTATCAACAAATCAGAGGTATTGTTGTTCTGGATGGAACTGTATTATTTTTAAGCATTGAACTGTTTTTGTATGGTATTTCAAATAGATCATAAATACCATACAAAAACAGTTCAATACTTATATTTACGTTTTCTCTGCCACTTATGTTCTTTTTAACTTATAAATTATATTTAAAATTAAAAATGACCGCCTTATCGACAGTCCACACAATTTCGTTCAATAGTTTGAACAGCGTATTGTCGCGTGCTGATTGGCAAACAGAGTAGTACTTTGAAATTTTAACAAACACTTCAATTTTATTCCACAATTCAGTATCAATATAATTGCGTATGATATGTCTATAGGGCGATTTAAGTTTATCAATTGAACTCTGACCTGAAAGTTAGATTTGAAATTGTTTCGATTTTTCCCCGGAACAAGTTTCGCGCATGGACAAATACAGTGAACACCGTAAATCCGACCTTGCCCTCCACGAGGGAGTTATTTTTGGAAGTTAATTCGAACTTTTCTCTTTGCTCATTTTGTGAAGAATCCAGGCGTGAATGTATTTGTTGATTGAAAGGGAACCTGACATGTCGTCAGAAACTGAGGAACCGTGGATGCGAGACGCGTGAAACTGATAGCGTTTGAAGTGAGTGATCTTGCGACGGATCACACGTTCGTTACAAATGTCTGAAATGTTTATGTGTGATGTGAGTCATATCAGTAGGTCTGTTACATATGTGTTTCACATGTGCATCATCGTAATCCTAACCCTTTAAGAAGGAACAGCAAACGTGTACAGGTCTGCATTTTTCCATCTCTGTTCATTGTGTCTGTGTTTAAATTGTAATACAACAATTGTTTTACAAAACAATCCCAGCATTGGTACCGTCACATACAATCCTACTAACAACCACATCTTGACCAGAACAGACATATTTCTTGCCTGAGATCTTACCCACCCGAAACACCTTATTTAACCGTCTTTATAGAGGTTCAATCCATAAACTGCTAACAGCTGTTCACGTTGTGTTATGTTCTCGTTGCTGCAAGTATATCTTTTTTTGAAGGTGAAAACTAACAAAACCTCAAAAACGTATGGCGACGCCCACCTAGTCGTGGACAAGGAAGTTGAGGGCCTCATGTCCCAAATTAAGAGATGGAGGCCGACGCCAGAAGGAGAGGATTATTTTTTTCTCACATCAAATGGTCGGCAAATGACCAGTTCAACTGTCTGCCAGGACCTGGAGCGGTGCGGACAGCTAGTTGGCTGGAACCGTCCGGAGTCAGCCACTAGCTTACGCCAATTCGCCGCCACTGTGGTAAAATATCTATTTACTATTGATATTTCCTCGCAATTGCCGATCGTATTTTGAACTTTCCTGTTTTTTTTATTGGCTTTGAACTTTGTAACCAAGGATTGTCTAGCATAAAACTAAATGTCTGGGTGTAGATAGAAATCGTTGATATTTAGAATAAGAGTTAATCGTGTAACGTAGGTTGAAATTTGTATTTTTTTACATGAGGGTATACTTGTAGCTATTTATTGTTATAATAAATAATTGAATTTTAGTGATTCTTTTTTATTTTGTTGGCATTAACCAGGTTTATATCTGACCGTAACACCCATTTACATCTTTTGACCAAGATATTGTCCGATTTTGATAAAAAAAAAAAAGTGTAACATAGGGGTAGTCTGACTTCAGAAACACAATTGTGAGGTCTTTTTTACTGATTCGGCAAAATTGCCGCCAAAGGGGGGCTTCTGATTGGTTGATACTTATATAGTGTCCGATTCTTATGAGAGTTGGCATACAGGTGTTCTCTGACATCAGAAACACAACAGTGAGGTTCGTTTTCTTAATAAACAAAATGGCCGCCAACTGGATTTTTCTGATTGGTCGATATTTAGATGTTGTTCGATTTTGATGTATCGTGACACTATAAACGCAACTGCAACTTCCATTTTACTGCTTAAAAAATGGCCGCAAACTAGAAAACTAATGGTGATGTCCATTTTCTGTTGAAACAACAATGGCTACCCTAAAGAGACGACTGATGTGGTAAAATTTAATATTGACAAATTTCGATCAAATTTGTGATCTTTTCCTACTAAAGGGTCGTTTGGGGGATTTCTGTTATAGTTCCAATCACATCTAAAACTTTTTATACTTGAAATTAAGACCGAGGTATCAAGTCTAAAATGAATCTTTTTATTCACAGATCAGCAAATATCCAGAAACTGTTAGAAAGACAGTAGCCGGGCACATGTTCCATAGCCAAGCTACCCAAGAAAAATACCATATTCTTCAACAGAAGGAGGACCAGGCGAGAGAGGCTTACTCTCTACTAAATGTTGGTAAGTTAACTTTGTTGGGATAAATTGGCCCTCTTTAATTCTGAGTCATCTGATTTTGTTCCATCCCGATCATCCATATGATTATTTAGACGGACCAGAATGCATCTGACAATGGCAACACAGTCATTCATACGCAGTTAGGTATAACTACACGAAAACATTTCAAGGAACGAACCGGATTACAATTTCCTTATAGAGTCAATTATTTATCTCTGACGTGACAGGAACAGGATTGGTTAGGCCGGTTTGTTTATTTACAGCTTTTGACTTTCGTTCTTTTCTAGCTCGAGGATCGACCACCAAAACAGCAAGACCAGCCTTACCTGCAACCGAGGCACCAACAGGTATTTATTGTTCATAGCTATTATTCCTTGGGTATACCTTGATCAACATTATGACTCATGGTTGAGTTGCGTGCAAAAAATACATCGAATTTTCTTAGATTTTAGCCATGTAATCTTTATTTTCAACTAAATACAGAATTCCCATACTGCATAAACTATTATCTTTACAAAGCAAACAAAAGAGAGGGTGCTAGCGTATATACTTGACGAAAACATTCAATGATTAGACACGGATTACAGTTTCTTTAAAGAATAAATTATTTCTCTTTGATGTAACCAGAGACGTATAATACATTGTATTATACGTCTCTGATGTAACGGGAGCAGTATCGTCGTTTTATTTACAACTTGTTCTTTTCTAGCTCAAGATTCCACAGAAGCTGAAGACAAAACACCGTCAACAGCTATATATGGTAATACTTCTCACATACATGTATGATGTCATTTATAAACCCTGTCCAGGCATATCGGTGTACTATCTAACCCTATCCTGTTTGCATAGGTATAGCAACGTACTATGTCCCGAGTAGATGAAATGGCTGAAGGATTCCCAGTCAATGTTGATATATATAATGTTGTCAAAATTCTTGTCGCGATATGAAATATTTAATACATTCCTTCCTTTAATCTACTATGTAAATTATCATGTGATTGCTTCTGTAACGTCAACAGTGTATTTACCTGGAGAATATTATGCTTTTCCAGCTTCTAAAAGAAAAGCCGGCTGGACGGCACAGGAGGAGGGCCAGCCGAGGAAGCTGTTTGGACCAGCTATAGGTTCAAGCCTCCGGATGTCGGCGATCAGGGAAAGCGTTGGAAACTTGTTAAACAATTCCACCATCCAGCAGATCCGGGATAAAATCAAAGTTATGAAAAAGTAACTTATGTAAGGGTTAGGATTATAAGTATAAGTCCTAGGGTCAGTTATCACCTGATTCCAATTTAGACCTAATGTCATGCTCGGCTGGGTTTATTCCTGTGCTTCCTCATGCATGAAGCAGAAGCATATGAGAACATTCAGTGCGGGACAAATTCTATTTACAATTTGGACAAATGATTTCTCACCTAGTGCACCCTATCAATGGGAGCACGCTGTCCTATGTCAATAAAAGGCCAGTTTTAACGGGACAGCACCACCTTGGGGTCAGAGGTCAGTGGTGTTTGTTTAAGTTACTGAAGCAGATGGTCAGCTTGATGTTAAAGACGGCTAATAAAACAAAATTGTCATTGACGTTCTCTCCTTCAGTGGCTGAAGAGTTCCGCCAAAGATTGATATCACTATAATTAGATATGTTGTACATAACTATCTAGTAACGGACACAATATGAATATGTACGAATTGGACCGATGATTTTATTTCTCGTACATATAAAATATAATCAATACACATTTTATTTTGCAGTAATATATTTGTTCATCCATTATACTTGGTAATTAGGTTCTGCACATTTTGGTAAAGAGAAAAGCAGTGGTGAAGTCCATAGAAAGTTATATACAATGATATGATCACAAAATAAATTGCTTAAAATTCCGATTACATTTCTTTTATATACTGTCTAAAGTTCTACTGCCTATTATGTACTTAAATATTATTAGATATTTACATGATATTTACAGGTTATAATACAAAACATAGAGTGGGTGGGGGAAGGGGGATAACTCCAACAACATAGTTTATTAATTAGATTCAGTCTGCAATATACAATAATTATAAAGGTAAGATATATTACATGTTGGTTATACACCGCTTATAGTATACAAGATATGCTATCAGATTGAAGACCGCACAGTCCTTGTGTTACGTTTAGGTCTTCAACTTAACACTGTACAGGATCCAGAGCAAATATAATTGCGGTAAAAATTTAAAGTAATGCATTTGAGTATATATATGGTAAAATTGCAGATCTTAAGTATGTACACTAGAAATTGAAAATATAAGGAGTACGGGGCAATATAAGAGGAAAGCCGTCGATAGGCCGTTAAACATAAACAAACAAACAAACAAACAAACAAAAGAGGAAAGCTTAATGATATCATGATAACCAGCCAGAGATGCACTTTTGTACGAATGAATGTTGTTTTTATAAATAAGTGTTATTATCTACAAATATATAAATATGTATGTATATATATTAATTTGAACATGAGTGGAGTTGTCTGCTATTGTATTCGATATTTTACAAATCTTTTAGTTTTAACTATATATTTTAGGACAGAGCTAAGAATTTCCATATTTACAACTTCGTTACATATTTGACCGCCACATAATATGTTGGTGAAATGAAAATGGTTATGGTTTTCAATAAGTTCAAGTTCATTTTTTAGTAATGCTCTTTGGACTGAAAACAGGGGACAATAAAGAAAACAATGCGAGACAATTTCATGGTTTCAATCACAAGCACATATAGGATTATCTTTAAATGATTAATATATAGGTCAGAATTTAAGCTGCTACATCCATTTCTAAGCTGACAAAGTATTACCCTTCCTTGATTATTTATTTTTTAATACCTTTGAAACGCTCACATCTTCCTCTTCACTGACATTTGACATGTTTATAAGTTTCTTAAAATTGTTAATGGAGGTTGCTTGTTCTGAAATAGGTGAGAGTTTATTAAACTCTCGGGGCATTGAAGGAAAACAACAATGATAGTAGCTGTTTGATCTACAGAGCGGAGGGCTTTTCTACGCAATGAATGTATATTTGCTTCATTATTGTCAATAAAAGTAATAATTGTTTCTTGCAAGTATAAAGGTGCATGGCGATGTAGTATTTTGTACATTAAGATCAATTGATGATTTTTCCGACGAATTGCTAATGGTTCTCACCCCGATTCCCTATAAAGTAAATGATGTGATGTTCCTCTTCTCAGCCCTGTTATATATATTGCTGCTTCCAGTTTGATAGATTCTAGTAATGTTTTAAATTGGTTTGTACAATTATTCCAAATTACATCAGCATATTCAAGTAAAGGTCTTATGAATGCAAAATACATTTTTATAAGAGTTTCTCTGCTAAGTTTATATTTCACAAAGCGTAGTATATTTAATCTAGTATATATTTTTTCATAAACAGTTTGTATATGAGTCCCAGGTACCATTTTTATTAAGAGTAACAATATGGTGCGTCCGCTTGCCATCATAGCTTAATGTCAAACCCATATGGTTATGAACTAGGAAGAGCTGATCACGTCATTAGCAAATATAATATCAGGTTTAATACATTCCCGTTTTCCTGAGAAGAGAGCAAATTCTGTTTTATGTGCATTGAAATATATATCTTATTTTATGTCCATGTGTTTATATTGATTAAATCATATTTGTGCAATTTCTTTTTGAATTTTAATTCAAATAAATCATCAATAGAAGTATCCTCAGCAAAGAGTTTGATTTTGCTTTTTACACAGTCAGTTATATCATTGATGTAAATAAAAATTTAAAAAGGACCCAGGATGAGCCTTGTGGAACACTCGCTTTACATGCTTAAAACCCTCTGTTGATACCTCTTGTTTCCTATCTGAGAGATAATGCTTCGATATTATATCACAGATTTTAATATGATTAAATATGTATTTGATAATAACTTTTTTTCAATAATTTTGAACGTTCTTGATCCACTCTAAAGGTGTTGAAATTCTTGTCTTCGGTGCTGAACAAAACTGTGAAAACCGTAAAAATGTGTTTAGTATTCATTGTATTACTGTGAATTCATTTTCAGTGTGAACTGCAAAAATCTATACTTTTTAAAAGTTATGACCTCTTTATCTTATGTAATTTTCCCTCAAGTTTCATGTTACACTATAGGTGTAAACAGACGAGTTTTTGCTACTAGGGGCCATACCCAGGGAAATAAGATGTGCACATGAAAAGCATACAATATTTATTGACATTGATGACTTACTAAAAAGTATTTGACCCTTATGACCTTTGGTGACCTATACAATGACCTTTGACATAACTTGACATTGTAATAAAATGTCAAATGAAAAGTAAACATTATGATTGATTGATTGATTGATTGATTGATACTGGTGACTTATTTGACCAGTGACCTTGGTGACCTATATATTGACCTTTAACATATACCTGCTGTGTAATCATATCTGCAATTTGACATATGACCCTTAACGAATTTGCAATAGACACAAAGTAATTTCCAAAGAAAGGATTAAATGACCATAAGTATATGCATTACTCTGCCTACATATTGTAATGTATCATAAAGTATATAAAGGAAAATTCAAATACTTACAGTTGAGCTTTAAGGCCGATATGCCTTGTTTTCTTTTGTGACCATAACATTGTTTTGCCTTTGGATTGCATCCTACACATTCTTGATGAAGACGATTCCTCTCGTTGAATTTGGACACATTATGGGAAGGGAAGTGTCTTCCCTACAGACGATCCAGACTTCCTGCCACGTCGCAATGGACGTGATCCATCAGCGATTTCCAGTAGTAAGGGTTTTACTACTTCGTTTTGGAATAGTTTGCCATTCCCTTTGTACAATGTTTTATAAATAACAATTGCGGTAGTCACCAGAAAATGAAAAAACTCTCACCCTAACATTGCTGACAATAAACAATTAATGACATACATAACCCGAAACGTTTCTTTATTCATTGAATGCAAACTTTCAACCGCAATTACTACTCTAAACCAACACTTTAACTAACATCTTCAAATTGAGTTAGTCACCATGCTTCATAATTCAAATGAAGGTACAACCTTATTTGATAAAACTACAACTGAAAAGTGAAATAATGTTTTTTCTGCTAAATATTGACAAGCGTAGATAGGAAAATTGGTAATAAAGTCTAAACCTGTCAAAAATATTTTTGTCAAAAAATTCGATAAGGGGTAACCCTTACGAGATTATTTTACTAAAAACTTTTATTGATAGGGTTAGAAAATCTTCTGTTATCATTCAAATTCCCTTGCTTCAATAGTCAAGAAAATGCATTTGTTTAACAACTTTATTGCATATTCTTTGTTAAAATGATTTCCAAACAACAAGTTATCGACAAGAGTGACTTCCTCAATTGGTCATCATCTTCTTTGATAGGTTTAGAAAATCTTTTGTTGCCATTCACTTACGTTCACCAAATTAGTAATGAAAACTCATTCGTTGAACAAATGAATGCATTATATATGGAGTTATTATAAATTGAGGTAGACACCAAAATATAAAAAGTCTAACCCTAACATTGCTAATTGATAACATACATAAGCCGAAACGTTTCTTTATTCACTGGATTGAATGCAAACTTTCAACCGCAATTAGTACTCTAAACCTACGCTGAAACTTACATCTTCTAATTGAGTTAGTCACCATACTTCATAATTCAAAAAAAGGTACAACTTTATTTGATAAAACTACAACTGAAAAGTGAAACAATGTTTTTTTCTGCTAAATATGGACAAGCGTAGATAGGAAAATTGGTAATAAACCCTAAACTGTCAAAAATATTTTTTGTCAAAAAAATCGATAAGGGGGTTACCCTTACGAGCTTATTTTTATTAAAACTGTTATTGATAGGTCTAGAAAATCTTCTGTTATCATTCAAATTCCCTTGCTTCATCCAATTATCAATCAGAGTGACTAACTCAACTTGTCATAAATTTTTTTTTTATATGTTAACTTAAAAAATTCAAATGACGTTGAACCCTTAATTGACTTCGACCCTTTACCCATTGACCTTGAAACTGTGACTTTCCCATTAGAAAATGTTTCAAAAATGGTCTCAAAACATCCGAATTTTCATTTTGGTCTGAGGATGAAAATATTTAAACTGTATGTGTTAAAATCGTTTTCCTACAAAATAATGATCAAATCTTGTCTAAACCTGAAAAAAATATGGTTAGAAACACCAAACTATTGAGTTAGTCACCATTTCCTGATAACTTTTCAAAATTGAGGAAGTCACCATTAAATTGAGGTAGTCACCATTTTTTTGATATATGTAATTGAGGTAGTCACCATATTTCGGGTGACTACCTCAATTTTCAATTGAGCTAGTCAACAAAGATTTAACCACTGCATGTATCTTAGAAGGCGACTAATGTGGGAAACTCCATTGCAGAGTTCGGGATTTGCTTAGGTGTCCTCTATTTGGGGACACAAAAGCGACCAAAATAAATCTGCTGCACCCATCGCAATATTTGATATCTTTATCTTTCTTTTAACTTCTAACTGCCTTTTTATTTCCTATCGCATTGCTTGTCAACACCTCACTTTTGGCTTGAATGTTGAGCTTTCGCCCAGGTGAGGAAGGCAATGGGTTCTGTCCCCAGGCTGGGACATACTAAAGTCCTAAAAAATGGTAGTTGTTATTTCCTTAAAGTCAGCATTAAGGGGAATGGCAACAACTGATTCACCCGTTGTCAGTATAATGTGACCGGGCGCCTTCGGCATGGAGTTTCAATGATATAGCACTATAAAGTCGGCATCAGATTTGCGCTATCACAAGGAGGCAATACAAATTCAATACAAACGTCGCAGGTCGTATCCTTGTCATTAATGTGTATTCGGAGGCAAAAGTAAAGTTACAAAGGAAAAGCAAATGTTCGGAGTAATCTTTATAACTAATGGTCGAGCCACGAAACAGATGGCATAACTCATGTAAAAAAGTAGACATTGCCGGACTTAAATCAAATATGCTGATATGATAACTAGATAACTGATACTAGGAGCATATACTTAAGCATTGAACTGTTTTTGTATGGTATTTATGATCTATTTGAATGACACAGATTTGCAAGCAAATATCATAATGCGCGCTAGCGCATTATTATTTGTTTGCCTGCAAATACCATACAAAAACAGTTCAATAATTATATTTACGTTTTCTCTGCCTTTTATGTTCTATTTTAACTTACAATTTATATTTAAAGTTTAAAATTCCTGCCCTATCGTCAGTCCACACAAATTCGTTCAATAGTTGGAACAGCGTGTTGTCACGTGCTGATTGGCAAACAAAGTAGTACTTTGAACTTTTAACAAACACCTCAATTTTATTCCACGATTCAGTATCAATACAATCGC